AGGAGAAGGAGAAGGAGAAGGAGAAGGAGAAGGAGAAGGAGAAGGAGAAGGAGAAGGAGAAGGAGAAGGAGAAGGAGAAGGAGAAGGAGAAGGAGTTTTGACTTCCTAGGTGTGTTTCTTCACAGATTTGCAGAGAGCAAAGGCAGGTACCCAGGGCCAGGGTGCTGTTATTGGGATGACATTTGCAGAATACTTCTGTAATCTTTTTGCCATCCATGCTCCTTGCTGACTAATACTGGCATAGGAAATAACCAGCAGTGAAAGCACGCTCCTCCGCTTCTCTAGAACACAGCCTTGATGCCTCACAATTTTGGAAAGTGTCAGGGGAAAATTAATAACTGCAGAGAAGGATGTGATTCTAATGATGACTTCATTATTTTTCCAAGCTTTCAGGAACAAGCTGCAGGGCTGAAGCTTGCTCAACTCTCACTTTCTAAYGTGTCCCTGGCAGGTGAGTGGGCTGGGGCAGCCACCCCTAATTTCATAGAATCATAGAGATTGGAAAAGACCTCTAAAACGATCAATTCCAGCCATTAACCCAACACCTCCATGATGGCCAGATTGGGATGGGAGGGGGTTCKGAGCTGGGGCAGACAGGCTCACCCTGGAGGGTGGCTCAATCYAGCCTGTCTTGGTCCTCTTTTCCAGTCTTCTCCTGGCATTGCAGCATCACTCCTTTCTYATGAGCTGCTGGCACTGCTTATGCTGCAAAGCAAGGCTGGGTGCCATGCCCACCTTGTCACCTCTCTATGTCACCTGGCCAGAGGCCACTGCATTGCCTGGGTGGGTGGCAAAGGGAGTACTCTCTACCATGTGCAGGAGTGTGGCTGGGTTTTGACTTGGACATCACCTCTTCAATCATAATTTCCAGGATTCCCACTAAAAAAAAAAACAAAAACGTGACTAAACAAAACTAAACTGAACTCCAGGAAACAAGAAAGCTCACAGCAAGGAGCCTTTTCTGCCTTGAGACTTCATGACCCCAAATGGTGACACCAGGTACTTGGGCCAGGTGTGGGAAGGTTTGTTTGGCACTTGCCACATGTTTTGGTTTCTAGAGGTGGAAGATGTGATGGGTATCACCACCAAGATCACATCTCAACAAGCCAGGGATCAGTAGGAAAAACTGGCTCATCCTCCCCCCCCCACCCCATGTGGCAGTAGCGAGGGCTCTGATTAGAATCACAGCACAAATTGCTCAAATTTTCCAATGCACACTTGAAATGGGTATAAACTGGTACCCAGGGTGAGAGGCTGCTGGGTCCATGCAAAACCGACAACAACTACATGCCCTTTTTTCTGGAAAAAAAAAGTAATAATAACAAAATAATAATAAAATAATAATAAAATAATAATAAAATAATAAATTATAATAAAGTACTAATTAAAGATCAAGGTGCTAGGAAGCTGCTGCAGAGGAAAGTGAAGTGAGCACCAGTGCCAGCCCAGTTTTTGCCCTGTCTTCACCCTGCCAGACCAGCACAGCTCACTCTGACTCCTCCACCAGGTTCTCCAGCACCAAGGAAAACAGCCCGGCTCCAACCAYAGTGCAGGTCCCTGCTCGTGCTGGTAAATCCCCTCTAGCCCAATTGGGTGGATACTACATCTTAAAGTTTGCTGACATGGTCAGAAAAAGGTCCTTTGATGCTTAAAAATATATAAATAATCTTTCTGTGAGATGGAGCACAGCAAATTGTATGTCCCTATCAGCCCATTTCTATTTGGCCACGAAAAGATGAAAAAATCTAAAAGGGAAAGATAGGCAGAATTAAATGAGAAGACTGTTCTTTAAACAGCAACTTCAGCAAGGACATGTCAGGCCACTTCACTGGAGCAAAAAATGTCCTGTTTTTTCCCCAGCAAGGAGCTGGTGAGTCCCATCAACACAGCTGTGACCCARAGGAGACCCCAGTCTTCTGCAGCCATCATGGTTGGAGAACACAGCTATCACCTGAGCACTCACCTCAAAGGATTGAGGATCAGTCCCAAAATGGCATAATAGCACTTGAGGTATTTAAGGAGCACTGAAAAACTGGAAGAAGAAAAAGAAAGCTGTGATCAGATATCTCTGATGGAGCTGACTGAAGCCCAGAGCTGAATGACCTTGAAGTCCAGGGAAAGCCTAGCTTCCCAAATGAAAGAGGGAACACGAATTACCACAAAAAAAGATGCTGAGGAAGAGAAACCCATAGGTTCTAAAGATCCTTCCCCTAACAGTTTAACTGAATCTGTAGGTCTGACCCAGGCGAGAGGCGAGTGGCTGGGGTGAGAAGAGGAAACGGTTAATAGTGTTTGCCAATAAACACGGAGAGTGTTGAGGTCTTTCCGATACTTCTCAGAAATTATGAAGGTCTCCGCAAATGATTTGCATTAGCAGCYACACCTGATCCTGTGGGGACAGGCAAATGATTTGCATTAGCAGCTACACCTGATCCTGTGGGTGTGAGTAAGCAGCGGTAAGCAGCAAGTAAGTGGAAGGATGGAACAGAGGCACAAAACTGTTCCCTTAACAAGCAGAAACTTGCAGGGCCTGGGCAGAGCAATGGTAACTTTGATGGGAATTGCCACATGGATATGGCATGGGGCCAACGTCACCTTCAGCATGGCAGGGGTGTGCAGCTGTTGCCTTCAGCATGGCAGTGAGTGTTCCTGCTGGCAGGCAGAGGTGAGTGGTACTAAGGACTCTGATGGTCCATCTCTAGCAAGAGGTGCTAGTAAAGTCTGTGGAAATCAGCAGCTGCTGCTGCTCAGGTCTCAGCAACCCATGCATGCTCAGATCGAGTTGGGGCAGGATCTGACACCAGTTGGGATATTTGCATCCCAAGCAGAGTTCCAGCAGCGCTACCCCTTTCCTCCTGGTGCAACCTCACACCTCCTGTACCCAAGGGGCACCTCCAGGCACCCCCAGTCCTGTCACAGTTCACGGTCCCCTCCAGCCTCTCATCCCTGGCAGCAGCACAGTCCACAGCAGCACTGGCTGTGCCTCCACACTGTTTCCATTCAAAGTTGGGTGAGGCACACAGGGACCTTTCTCAGCCGTGTCATCCGCTGCACGTGGGAAGCGCAATCGATCGGGGAGATCGCTGCTTCGAGATAAACTGCAGAGGAAACAGAATGTCAAGTTCTCAGCAAGGGCTGCAGCACATGCAGCCTTCCCCAGGACACACAGCAGATGTGGGCAGGGAAAAGAGCACAAGGATATTGGAGAGCAAGAATTTTGGGCCTTGCTGGAGGATTTAAGAATTTTCTGGAGGAAAGGAGGAAGGCTGGGATCTCTGCCCTGATGTCTGGGGCGTGTGGCTCAGAGGCAGGAAGGGAGCTCTCCAAGCCCTGGGCAAGGCTGAGTGCAGGGGCTGTTGCTGTCAGCTGGTTTGGGGCAGGAGTGGGGCACAGGGAAGCACCCAGTGAGGCCAGGCCATCTTACCCCACTCTGTCCCCATCAGACCTCCAGCCACACCTGAGACAGCAACCTCATCAAACCCTTTAATTAYAGAATCACAGAATCAATTAGGCTGGGGAGGACCTCTGAGATCATCACATCCAACCTACGACAGAACACCACCATGACAACTTAGTGACGTTTGATGCCACCGCCAGTCTTTCCTGAAACACCTCCAGGCAYGGTGACTCCACCACGTCCGTAGGCAATTCATTCCGATGTTCATCACATCCTCTTTCTGTGAGGCAATTCCTCCTAAAGTGCAACATAAACCTCCCCGGGAACTGCTTAAGACTATGTGCTCTTTGCTTTCGCTGATTGTCTGGGAGAAGGGGTTGAACCCCGCCTGGCTACAATCTCCTTTCAGGGAGTTGTAGAGGGATAAGGTTCCCCCTGAGCCTCTTTTCTCCAGACTAAACACCCACAGCTCCCTCAGCTGCTCCTCACGGGATCTGTGCTCCAGACCCTTCCCCAGCTCCGCCGCCCTTCTCTTGACTCCCTCCAGCACCTCACCGGCTTTTAGCACACATTTGTAAAATTTTACAATTGTTGCAATTATTAAAATAACTTGCAGCTATTACAGCAATTATGTACCGCTCATTTACCAGCTACTTTATTATACAAGTTTTTCAATTGCAAAAACTGACTTTTTTTTTTTTAACGAAATAACACAAACATAAAACACCAAATACAAAAACACTCAGAACAACAAACGCCGGCAGGCCGGGGCGGGGCGGCGCTGAGGCGGCGGGGGCGGGCGGCGGAAGCGGCGGGAGCGGCCGCGGTTGTCCCGGTAACCAACACCGGGCCATGGGCGAGCTGGGCCCGGACGAAGGGGCCGAGAACACGTACAGCCTGCGGCCCGCCTTCCAGCACCGGTGGGGCTGCGGGAGAGAGAGGGGGGAATGCGGGCCAGCGCGATGAGGGGATTCGGGTTGGGGCGGTTGGGCCCCGGGGATGAGGGAGCTGCAGTGAGGATGTCGGGGAGGGGGTTCCTGGGCGTGAGGGGCCGGGGTGAGGCTGTGGAGTGGTGTTGGGAATGGGGAGCCCCGAGAGTTTGGGGATTGGAGGGCACTGTGCTCCCAGACCAGCTTTGACACGCATTCGGGGGGATGCTGCTGGAGAAACAGCTTCCACTGGGGCTCGTTTCACCCCTGTTTACAGTGATTTGGCTTTTTGCAATATCTCCATTTCAGCAGGACTTTTTTTTCCCCATGGTTTGCTGGAGGAACAGCTTCCACTGGGGGCTCTGCTGTTTACAGGGGTTTGGCTTTTTGCAATATCTCCATTTCAGCAGGACTTTTTTTCCCCCATGGTTTATTATCTGACATTTTTCTTCAATACGTGAAAGCTACATTTTCGCAGGTGGTGTTGTGTGTATTTCTACACACTGCATGAACTTTCTGGGCTTTCTGTTGAGCTTTTTTTTGTTTGGTTTTTTTTTTTTTGCCATGGTAGATTTAAATCGTCCACCGTAAAAGAATGCATTCATGCAATACTGAAGGAGAAACTGGCCGATGTACAGTACATCCCAGAAGAAATGCCTGAGCTTACAAAGTCTTTATCAGAGATAATAAAAGACAGACTGAAAGGTAAGGAGGTTTGCTGGGGAAGTAATTTCTTGYCATGTCCTCTTCCTTTTGACAAGATCCCTCTTTCTTCCTTTATTCTTGAGATTTATTCCTTCCATGTTGACTGACTYGAGTCTGCTGTTATGAAACAATCTGTCCTATATATGTACATTCCTCGCCCGCAGAATCGGAGACCTAATTCAAGCAGACATGATTTGTTTTCATATAGCTTGTCAGGTGTGCGATGTCAGCCTTGAAGGGGCTGCAGGGGGAATGAAGCTGCATTAGAGAGGAGAAAGAAGTGATGCTTCTTGCTTCCATAAACAGAACCATTCCTGCTTTTTTTTCTGCTGTGAGTTAGATCAGTGTTGGGTCAGAGTGGAATAGCAGTGGACATCAGAAAAAGGCTYAGAGGGYGCAGGGARGGGGGACAGAGGAGCAGTCAGCCAYAGACAGGTGTGACTACAGCCTTAGAGCAGTGGAAAAAGGGTGTGGTGCTGCATAGGATGCTCTCCAACATTTTTGAGTTCAAGAAGAAAACTGTAGGCACCTGCAGGTGTTTTCTGGAGAGTTCTGTGCTGGAACAATTATATAGATGTATGTGSTGGCACAGACACTTTTTTCCCTTCCTCCTGGGACAGGCTAGTGCTCCATCTGCTGGACTGGCCTGATGTGGTGGCACAGCCRGCTGGTCACCCTTGGCAGGAGCCGTGGATTTGTGCTTCTCCCAGAATTACCCACCTGCAGTCCTTGCACGTGTTGATGCTGAGCTCATCTGCACAGGACTTGGCTTCAGTAATGTGTAACCACAGTGGCAGCAGCCTGAAGTGGGRCTGGCCCGGGGTGGCCGCTCTATTAGCTGGCATCTCTGATAAACATTGATGTGGTGGATGTCAACAGAGCCAGTGTGTTGGGTTCAATCCTCCATGGAAATAGGGCGCTGGAGTCGTCTCAGGACACTGCTTTGTTGAAGACAGGCATTGAGATCTATATTTGATTTTAAACATGCTTGTTCTGATTTGGCTTCTGGAACATTGCCATGGCCTCATTGGATCTGGCCTGTGCCCCAGAGGTATTTCTTTACTATTGTGAAACAACTGCACATCTCTGCAGACACATAGCACAGCTATTATGTGGCCTTTTATCCCACTCAGAAGCAAAGGAAACACCTGCATGGCAGAAGATCCTCTACAAAACCTTTGCATCAAAACAGTTTTAAAATAAGATAGTTTTTTTTTTTCAATTGCAGTTTGTCCACCAGCAGCCTTWTTTTGCATTCTTTCCAAGCTGTGAAAGCAGAATGCTGACATACAGTGTGGCTGCTCAGAGGTGTCTTGTGCCTTAAATGCATCTTTAGATGGATGGCAGCTACCCTATTCATCCTTCAGTTCTARTAAAACCATGGTACTCCATACTACAAAAAGGAAGGCTTGCAAGGCAGTCTGTCCATTTGGCTACTTGCATAGGCTTGTACAGGCCACTTGCTTTGCAGCCAGAAATCTTCAGCTTTCAGGGTCCTGTTTTGGACTCATATTTTAAAAAACTTTTTGCTCTCATTATTATTCTTTTCTGTTTCTCCAGAGGAGGGATTTGACAGGTACAAAATGGTGGTGCAGGTTGTCATTGGAGAGCAGAAAGGAGAAGGAGTGAAGTAAGTTTTGCATCTTCTAATTACATTTCTATCTTGTTTGTTGGGTTTGGGTGTGTTTTTTTAGGAAGCTGCTTCCAACTTCCCTTGCTACAAAGATCTGTGCGGAGATGATAAAGTTTAAATCACTTCATTTTCTCTTTTAGTGGCAATTTGAGGGCTTAGGTTGTGGCTGATTGAATTAGCCAGAGATAATTTGCTCCATGGTGGTTCTTWGCAAGCTGAAATGATGAAAAGCATTTATGAGGAGTGTTGCAGAAGCATTTTATGTTGTAYTCATGATGAATTAGGGTACGCTCCCCATCCATTCCCAGGGCCCTTCTGGARCACAAGAGCCATGGTAACTCCTGTCTAAAGCCAGCAAGCTTCCACAAGCATTTCATTTACATTTTTCAGAAGTTTCAGTTTCTGTAATCCCCCTGCAATACTGTCATGGGAACCAAGCCTAAATTCCCATGTGGGTGCTGAGCACTTGCAGTCAGCTCTAGATGCCTGCAGTTAGACAAAAGAATTTCTCTTGGCTGCAATAGTGGGCTGTAGCTTTTCATTACTAGTGGGTAATGAGAAGACAAAAGGGAACAGCCCACAAGGTCTGTGTGCTTTATCTGCTGGGCTTATCTTTATTATTGTGCCTGGTACTCCAGCAGAAGATAAGTGCAGCAGAACTGTAATTAGATTTGCTGCCTCCATGTTCTGGAGGTCAGAGAGGAATGTCTGTACCTGCTGCTCAGGCTTTTGTCAGGAATGTCCATCTGCAGGCAGATTGCTCCAGAAGCACCGTACCAGGATGAACAGTTCAGTTTTCAGATAGTCTGATTGGAAATGTGAAGTTCAGCAACACTGGCTCACAGAGCAATTGGGGAAATTTTCTGCTTTGCAACAGGCAGGAGGCAAGATTGAAGCACAATCACTAMGACTCTTAATGCAAAATACAGGCAACCAAGGTATTCCAGAGGCAAAGTGGAATACTGAACTGGGGAAAAATAAAAGGAGGTTAACCTTGAGGGCTAAGGTAACAGAAAGATGAAATTCAACCATCTTAGTATGGTCAGTCATACATGTAGGGTGCCACAAAAGGAATCCCATCAGCTGAGACTGATTGGGGCAGGAAGGGAATGGGACACTTGCAGCAGAGAAGGGGGAATGACAGTGTCTTTAGACAAAGCAGCAGCAAGGGCTCATATGTAATATCCTGTTATGGTCTGGTTGTTTGTCCTTAGGACAGGGCTTGGATGTAGGAGTCCATCAGGATGGTCAGGGAACAGAGGGTATAGATAGGAAAAGATTAGAAGCAGTCGTGGTCTCGTAGCATGGCATCTGCCAAGGAATACGATAGCTCCCTATAAATAAGTTGGGAGTATGTAGCATGAGGGTGCAGGAGGTGAAGGACAAGAACAAATAAGCTAAACTAGCCACTGATATGCATAGGCCAGAAGTCAAAGATTCTTAAGCACCATAGCAATGAGGTTTTCTAGCCCTGCTGCACAGTGGAGGTGGCAGGGTTGAGGGCCGATAAGTTTGAAGGAGCACATACAGAGGTGATTACAGCATGTGATAGAATTCAGCAGTAGAGAACTAGGTTTGGGATTCAGRAGCACACTTCCCAATTCTATTACCTTTAAAGCAATCTCAGTTTGGTTTTCAAGGGAAGTATCTGTGCCCACTTAGGTCATTACATGTGAACTCTGGGTAATRTCCCTGTCTGGCTCCTTTGTCTAGCATGGCTGCACGATGTTTCTGGGATGCTGACACTGACAGCTGTGCTCACGACGTGTTCATGAACGTAAGTATGGGCTGGATTCCCATGGGAAGTGCAAGGCTACTTGCTTTTACATGAGAGGCAGAGTGACCTTAAATATGGAGCAGAAAAGAAACAACCACTAGAAGGAAGGAATCAAGATTATTGAAACAGCCTGATTTAGATCCTCATTTACAAAACATACTTAGATATAATAGCCAACATAGTAAAAGTTCTTTCCTGAGTAAGTCACACAGTATTGTTCAAAAGTCATTGAAGTCACACCCTTTTACTGGGGGGGAGAGGAAGCACAAGAGACAAAGTCTTTTATTACGTACTTTACTGAACTGAAGTCATGGAGCATGGCTGAAATCCACAACTGAGCCAAAGTTAAGGTTTTACTTCATTTTTGGTTTATTTTATTTTATTTTAAACTGACACCTAGACACCTGTGGGTATGTGGATGGAGGAAATTGAAGCACTTCTGGCATTCRGATGCACTGACCTGGGTTACACCACAAGTGAGATGAATAAGAAACTTAAATAAAAGACAGAAAATTGCAATGTATACCATACAGTTGTGCTCTAGTCTAAATGCTCCCTGAGGTTTGCCTGTTCCACTAGACTAACAAAAAGCTTGCCTTGACTAACACAGAGCTTTTCTCTGTTTGCTTCAGGACAGCCTGTTTTGTGTGGTGGCTGCGTTTGGCTGCTTCTACTATTGAAGAKGACAAACATTGCACAGAAGGACGGAGAGAATGCTTTGGAGTATTTTTTTATTTAAGTGCACAAAAGCATCATGTTTTTCCTTTAGTACCTAAGAAAATAACTCTACCCAGCACATCCTACACCTGTTTTACACACTACAACATTCCTTCTTCCTTGTAAATATTTTTATCACTTTAAGCACATTATTATAATTATTACTATTATTGTATCCTTATTTAAACAGCCCTTTGTTTTTTATATGGTGTTAGATTTGTCCTAGAAGTGTATTGCCAGTAGCCATTGCTTGYAAGGCAAATTCAACTTTGGTCTTGAAAGGGTTCTGTTATTTTTATTTTTATGAAATTAATGAAATATTTATAAGAAAAGAAACATAATAAATCTATGTATTTAATATTTTTTTCTCCTGTGGCATTTTCTTCCACTCTACAAGATGCACTAGCCTGGATGACTTGTTTGCTTTTCTCAGGTGAGCATTTTGAGGATTCTTTGTAAACTAACCCATAAAGCTGATCTCTGATTCTGGTTATCCACATTTGYTCCTATGACTCTCATAACAATTGGGCTATGAATCCCAGCTGTGTCACAYGAGATGGTATTAATTGATGGAAAGTTGAGGTATTTAGGACATTAGGTCAGGCCAGCAGCGTGCACACCCCATGACTGCTAAAACTCCTCCCTGCAGTAACTGCACCTTAGTTAGGTGAAATTTGGCACACGTGGATGCTGTGAGTGATCATTGCTCCTCACCCTCTTCAGCAGATACTGCAGTGCTTTCTCAATCTCTCTGTAATTGTTTTGGAATGTGAGGGTGGATGTTTGGGAGCCAACTTTGCTAGGACTCCAGCCTTGGATCAGTAGATSTGCAAAAGAGTGCTAAAGCTTCTCATCTCCCCAAAACTTGGAAGATGGGGTTGATTCCTGAGCGAGTGGGTGCCAACAGACTACATCTTAGCTGCCTATCACAAGATGGGATGAKCTGCTCTGTAATGATGCTTGTTCTCTCTCTACTGACATAGCAAGCACAGCTGAACCATTCCAGTGGCATGAATGGCTTTTAGAGTGCTGAAGCGGGGTGAGGTGATGGGGGGGTGAGGGTGATTTTGGTTCGATATCAGGAAAAGGGTTCTTTCYCAGAAAGTGATTGGGCACTGGACCAGCTTTCCCAGGGTAGTTATGGCACCAGGCCGAGCAGAGCTGAAAAAGCGTTTGGATAAGGCTGCCAGTCCCTTGGTGTATCTCCTGGGGATGGTGCTGAGCAGGGCTAAGAGTTGCAGCTGGATGATCCTTGCAGGTCGCTTCCGACCCAGGATATGCTGTGACGTGARGAGCCGGGGAGGAGGACCGTCGGCAGCCGGAACGGAGGTTCCAGGCGCGGTTTCCCGGAATGCAGGTTCCCCGTAGCGGGCCGGTCCCTTCCCGTGGTTCCGGGCGGACACGCAGCGGCTCCGCCCGCGCCCCGTTGGCGTCGGCGGGAGCGGGGCGGGGCCGGCAGCGGCMGCGGCAGCGGGGMYGGRCTCASCGGGCTGGGCTGCGGAGCGGCGGCGGTGCGCTGGTAGGGGACAGCCGGCGGGAGCGGGGRCTGGCACTGAGGGGGCTGTGGGTGCAGGGGACCGGGAGCGGAGCGGTGCCTGTTGCGGGACCGGAGCTGTGGGGTTGGTTTAGGTTGGCGACACTGAGGGCACCGCACGCTCACCCTGCGGAGCCGGTCAGGGGTCCCTCCCCAGGCCCTKCTCCCAGAGCGGTGGCCGTGGCACAGGCGGGGCGCTTCGGGAGGTGCTGGTCGGTTTGGACATGGACTACTGGCTTCGTGCAGGAGGGCACTGTCTGCTGGGGTGGTCGTGATGCGCTGTGTCCCCTTCGTGGGGGCTTGGGCAGAGGCCGGGGCTCGGGCGTGATCCTGCGAGGTGGCAGGGCTGGCAGCTGAGAGGAGACAGCGGCAGATGAGTGGGAAACTTTTGTAGTTCATCCTGAGGGTTTGGAGCGTGGGGACTCCAGGGGACATCCCGCCACCCAGGGGACACAGTCAAGGCCTAGGGAGGACAATKAGGAGGTGGCTGCGGCGAAGGAAGGTGTGACCCAGGTGCTGCGTAGGCACATGTCCTTTAACCCGCTTTTTGTGTCCACCGAAGTCCTGGCTGCACTGATTAATGGCTTTGTAATTGGCCTTAAAGTCCTGAGGAATTCTGAGGACTGCGATGTTCCTCAGTGGTCCTCACTCACTGTGAGGGAAGTGCAGGATGCTGCAGGTGGCCTTCCCTCTGTCCCCTCCCTGTGCTGCTGCAGCACCAGGACCCTGGCAAAGGCTGGGCTGGTCAGAAACAGGTAATGCTGGGTTTCCATCTGCAGGACCCTAGGGTCTGAGGACAGCCAGCCACTGTATTTGGCTTTGAAATTCAGATGACAAATACCTGTGGATTATTTCCCAAAGGAATTGTTTGTATATACAGAATTAATAATTCATAATTTTGAAGTTTCTYACTGCAGGGTCTGGGTTGTAACTGTCTTGAAATCATTGTACAGAGAACCACAAACAATAACTGTTGCAGTAAGGAATTGGTATTGGTGTGTAAACCTACTAAYAATGGAGGTTTACATCTCAAGTCTCAAAAATCCCTAAAATATTCTGCATAAACCCTAGTTCTGCTGCTTCACTCACCCAGCAGAGGCTGTCGGGACACTCAGTGCCTGGTGCTTATGATATACTCAGAAGGGCTGTGAATTCACAGAGAAGGTATTGACAGCAGTTTTTCTTTTTTTATGTGTATATTAAATAGCAGCACTATCACTGTCAGTGWTTGCACTAAACTGTTTTCAGTTGTGGCTAGACAGAATTATCTTAAGCCATTTGGGACTTTGCTGTTGAGAAGCAGCATCTTTCCATCCATTGCAGGACATGGGTACCAGAGCTTCTGTATTTTTAGGCTCTGCTTGAGTAAATGTTACAGSCTGCCTAGACCAGTAGGGGATGCAAGGCCTGGAGGGTTATTATAGCAGGTGTAGCAAAGGTGTGGATGCTGTTGGATGAATGTGTGGCACTGGCTGACCTGGAATCCCTTTTATATGTTCATGTGGCTTTTAACACACTGTTGGACAGCTGCTCTTGTTGATCTTGAGCCAAAGTAGCTGGAGCAGCATGTGTTTTACAAGTGGACGGGACTGTGCCAAATCCTGCAGTAACCTTTACAAGGGGCACRAGGGCTTGGACCATCCAGGTAGAGCAGATGCTGACTGGGGAGCACCACAGTCTCTGGAGGTGAGCAGGCTGGGTCACAGCCAGCAGCACTCTCTTTCCAGGCAGATGCTCTCAGTCTGGAGGCTGGGACAGAGCTGGGCCTGGCAAGMCTGGGCTGGGCATGAAGTTGACTTGGAGATTAAGCAAGTTTTTTAAGCACTGACAGAAGAGAGATCCATGATGAGTCTTCTGTCGTTAACCTCTCCCAGTTCTCTGTGTCTCCAACAGATCTCTGGAGGGATACACACCAGCTTAATTGGAAACTGTGGGTTGCAGGTGAGGGACAACAACAGGAAAAGGATTCTCTTTGATCTAAGGTCAGGGAATGCAGAGGAATGTAGGGTCGCTTTGGTACTTTATAGCCTGGCAAGGGACTTATCTGAAGTGACAGGACTTCTTCCTTTTCCCTGAGGCTCTTGCTTACATGCTGTCCGTGTGTCAAGGCAATTCTCTGCAGACAGCTGGCAGAGTGCAAAGTTTAGTAGTATTGCCTGCAAATGAGTCAGCAGAAAAGAAATATCTTGTTCCTGTAAAGTGCAATGATCTTGTAGGCAAAGCAGCACATGACAGTCACATCTGACTGTGCCAACACYTCCCAAGTTCAGAGGGACGATAGGACAGCCTTGGAACAGGCAGTGCAACTCAGGGAGCTGTGGGTGTCCTAGGGCCTCACTGGTCCAGATGCCAGTCTTGTGCTTTGGGTCCCTAGTGGGAATTGCAGCAGCCCTGGGCTGGAGCATTTACTGAGTTGTTGCAGTGAGTTCCTTTTCAGTTTAAGCAGCAGCATTTATTTTTCTTAGGCAGGTAAATCTGCAAGTGAAAAGCAGCAGAAGTAGCAGAAGAAATCCTGCTACTGATTTCAGTTTGCAGTCAGTATTCTGCAAGAAGCTCTTCAACACAYCAGAAGGCAGATGGGCCAGGTGCTCATGCCATCAGTGTGCTTAGGGAGMAGAAAGATGTGATCTGCTTCTCTGGGGTGTGAGGCTGGAGTTCTCCAACACCACCGAGACTAAGAAACGTCAGCACTGTCCATGAAGATGCAGACAGTGAGATAAGGCTTTGGCTAAGCAAGAGGATTTGCTGTGCCTATTCTGACCTCTTCCACCTGACAGAGATGGTAACTTTGGTGTTGTGGTTAAATTATAGCTGTGATGATGGTGCTGTTAACTGACATTAAGGAAGAAGTTTTAAATTCCTACCCTGCATGTCTAATTTTCTTCCTTTTCTAGTAATTAGTGCTCATCCATTTTCCCCTCTCGGAAGTGGCAGTGTTTCAGTGGGATTCAGTGATTCCTTGACAGGGAAAGCAACTCTTTTCCCATCTGGCAGTCAACTGCTTGTTGCAGAACCCTTGCAGGTCTCCCTTTCTCTCAGTGAGGTAGCTGGCAGATGATTCAAGACCCTTCTTTGATACTGTATGCACCAAATAAATAAGTTTAAGAAGCAAAGCCTGAGAGTTTTATAAAGTGATGCAGAGACTGTGATTTGCCCATGGTTTTTCCAAATGGGGCACTTCCAGCTTTGCTTCTTGCAAGCAGTTTCTCATATTCAGCCGTGGACTCAATAATGCAGGAGGGTGACACCTTAAAATAGAACAATGTTAATATTTTACAGAAAGGCTTTTTTCTGGTTATGCTTGCGTTCTGTCTTGGAGTGTTCGGAATGAGCTTTGAGAGTTATYTTATCTTTCCTCTACCCCCTTTGCTGCAAATGTAATTAATTTTAGAACAGGCAGTGTTTTATGCATTGGGGAAGCAAAGCCATGTCGTCACGTGTTAAGCTCAGCTACAGATGCTGGATCCCACTGTTGRTAAATAATTGTTTGGGATGCTATTTCAGTCACTTGGGTCAAAAATGAAGCATTCTAAGATTAGTAGGTTTATCGCAGTAAGGTGTGATGTGTTCCYAGTTTTTTATGAAGACAAGTTTGGTGATGGGAGGACTTCCCAGAAATGCRCTCACCACAGGATAGAGGTTTTGAAGTTCTGAATAGTGGTAAAATTATTGTTTCATTTTTGCATTAGTTTGAGTAATTAACAGAGCTGTGTCACTCATGAGGTGCCCAGCCCAGCTCTCCGGACACTGCGGAGTCTTCTTCAGCAATATGTAACCTCTAAGGTCAGAGCAGATAGAGCATATTTATCACCCCCCTGAAGCTGGTTTCTCAC